CCAGGACCGCCACGGCGGCCCGAAACGCGCGCCCCACACCCCTCCCGGCTCGCGCTAGCTGGCGATCGGACTCGAGTCCCTTACCCTTCCCGCTCCCTCTCCTCCTCACCGAGCTTTTTCCTCCGGCCCCGGCGCCGTCGTTTATGCCAGCCGCCCTGCGCCGCACAGCGCGCCATACCCCGCCCCCACCACCAGCGACGCTCCGCCCCCGCCTCTCCCGGAGGGCACGTGACCGCGCTCCGACCCGGGAGAAGGAGCATGCGCAGGCGCGTGCCACACAGGGCGGAGCGAGGACGTTCACAACACCCCCCAACCAGCGCGAGAAAGAGCTTCTGCGCCTGCGCGAGACTCATCGGCCTCCTCCTCCGCTCGGCGCGGGAGGTGAAACGCAGTTTGGACGGGCAAGATCAGGGAGGGAGTCCTTCAGGGCTCATTATGAGAAGCAATGTGGAGGGTTTTACAATACATTGTTTACTGGAGCAGGCCCTCTGAGCCGAGAAATGCTACGGAAAGTCCAGGAGGGGAGTGATATGTAAATTATGTATTTGCCTGAGACGCTCCGCCTTTTCTTAGTCCAAGAATAAAGCCCAACCCATTGCCAGAGAGTTGAATTCCAACTCAGACTGCCCCTCTGAGAGAAGACTGTAATCTTACAGAAGCAATCCTGATAGAACAGTGGCTAAACGCTCGGCGGATAACTGAAAGGTCAGCAGTTCCAACTCACCAACAGCTCCGAGAGAAAAACAAGGCAGTCAGTTGCCATAGATTATTGTCAAACGCTGTGGAGTCTGTTCCGACTCGTAGTGACCCCGTATAGGATTTACGAGGAGTGGTTTTTGAACTTGAAGCATTGACCTTGCGGTTCAAACCGATCTTTAGGTCCAGGACATTATCCTGCAGCGTCACACCAGCCTAGGAAACCATATGGGGACAGTTCTCTTATGTCCTTTAGGGTTGTTATGAATAGGAATCCACAAGACTGGCATTGGGGTTTTTTTTTTTTTCTTTTTTAAGAATTGGGTGAAGGTTTACAGAGCAAACAGCTATGAAGCAGATCGCCCCATGCTTCTCCAGAGGATCGGCTTTAGTGGGGTTTGAACTGCCGACCTTGCGGTTAGTGAATTCGTTAACCACTGTGCCTCCAGGGCTTGCTTCTTAGTCCAATAACAGGGATGAGAAATTGAGATGTCTGTGCAGTTATTGGGAAAATGATGTAAATTAGCACAGCAATCAGTAATTTGCGTAAGCACTGTTTATAACGGATTAGGCTGAGCATCCTAACTGAAATCTTACTAGTACTACGCAAATATTTCTTTTGCATGACCCAACCAGTCCTGCCTACTCAGGACGATTGTGGGAAGTCAGAATAAGCAACCTGGGAAAGATACATAGCTAAACCCCTTACAAGACCAGTCATTTCTCTAGGAAGCTGGTGGGCAGCCCAGCCTAAAGGATTTGTCTCTATGCCCCGCCCTTCATCAATACTCAGGCAGAAGGTGGGAGGTTGAGATCAGGCCTCCAGCAGGCACCTTTTAAGGCTGACTTTGGGCTGCTGGGAGCAGCGCCAAGAAGCTGCACTGTGCCTGGAAGACACCTGTGGGTGGCAGTGGCTCATACAGACACCAGTCGATACACCTGGTCATCACAAGTACACACAGGTTGATCAAGTCTGCATACCACGTCTGAGTTGTAAAATGGCCTCAGGGACACATGTGTAGAAAAGGTTCAGACAGACACAGAGACCTCAGGGACACTCATGGAAATCACCCACATGGAAGGCAGGCATAGTCTTAACTTTGGGGCATCAGACACCAATAGGTGTCACTGACCACAGAAAGCAGACCCAAATTCCCATTTCCTGGCCTGTCACAGACTACCTCCTCGATGCAATCACCAAGGACAGAGGGCAGTCACAGCAACACAGGCACTAAAAAGCCTTACTTGTGCATCTGTGGCACAACCCCAGGGACAACAGTGTTGCTCATGTGAGCACACAGTCATGTTTCCACACGGTGACAAACCCCTCCCCTCTCACAACAGATACTGGAGTCTTGGAGCATGGTGCACCCTCAGTGCATTTGTTCCACACCATGTCCAACACAGAACAGTGGTCCCCAAGTCCCTAGAGAGACCTGATTCTTTCATTAGGGACCGCTTCAGGTTCCCCTCATTCCCCACCATCCCAAAATGACGGTGGCTGAGACACAAGTGTAAACAATGCTTTATGGGTATAAGGTGAGGATTGGACAGGCCTCCAAGTAATAAATAACACGTACTCGCAATGGCAGGGCCAGGCAGGGAGTTGGGGCCACGTGGCCCTGGTCTCAGGCTTTGGGAGCTCTTGGGGCATGGTTAAGGGTGGTTAGCCAAGACAGAGGAAACAGCAGCAGGTTCGGGTTCTCCCCATTCCCCATGGCTCAGTCTTGCCCCACATCCAGGCCCCACCAGGCCAGGGAAGGGGAACAGGTGGCAGGGCAGCTTCTTTGGGGCCAGGGCAGGAAGGGAGCACGGCCTCCCAGGGCCTGGGTCTGGGTCCCACCCAGAAGGGCAGGGCTGGTCCTGGAGAACAGGTGAGCTGAAAAAGATAGATATACGGTAAATAGAGATATACGGTAAATGGAAATATATATAAATGATGAGGGATGCTGGGTATCTGTCTCATTTCTGGGTCTCTTCCTGTCCTTCCATCTGTTGCTGTCCCTCCAGCCTTTTCTCTTTCTCCCAAAGTTTCGAGAGTATCTGTCTGCTGACTTTCTTGTTTTCTCTTCTGCAACTGCTTTCAGGGTCTCTCTCTGGAGGCCCTGGGTAATGCAAGCAGTTAACACACTTGACTGGTAACCATAACACTGATAATTCAAATCTTTCTAGAAGTGCCCTGGAAGAAAGACCTGGCAATCTCAAAAACACCAGCCACTGTAAACCCAAGGGAGTACATTTCTACTCTAGCACTCATGGGATCACAGTGCATCAGAATGGACCCCCTGGCAACTGGTCTTTCTCTGAGGGCATCTGCATCTCTGTATCTCTGTGGTTGTACACCAGATTCCTAAGGGGTTGCCTCAGTCCGCAGAAGGGCATTGTTGTTGTTAAGTACCATACCCATCAAGTCCATTCAGACTCAGAGCAACACTGTACAGGATTTTGGAGGAGCAGCTGGTGGGTTTGAACGGCTGACCTTGTAGTTCATAATCCTGTGTGGACCTTACAACACCACACCAGGAGTTATTACAATATCTAAAGACCTCATCCCCTCCTTTCTAACCCTCTTTAGGTCTCACCAAGTGTCTTCCAACAGTTCTCACTTTCACTACATATATGAGGGGGCTTCAGAAATCTCCTGAAAAAATTCCATTTTTCCATGAACTTTCTAAAGCCCCCTCGGAGAACTTCTAAGGTGTCACTTTAAAAATTTGCAGGGATGAGGCCTGGAAATTGGCTTTGTTAAACTACCCAGGGATCCCAAGGTACACCACCACATAGAGAAGCAGGGAATCAGTTTGGTTCTTGAGCCGGTTTTTGTTTTCTTGTTACTGTTTTTTCATTGAAATAGAATACAACAGAGAATATCAGAGTGCATCATGTGTAAAATGACTAAACGGCAGATTGGCGGGTGGTTGTTGGGGGCGCGGAGGAGGGGAAGTGGGGAATGACTTCTTGATCTGGGGTTTTCCTTTTGGGGTGAGGAAAATGTTCTGGCACAAGATCAAGGTGGTGGCTGCGCTGTTGTCAATGTGCTCCATGACAGTGAACTTTAAGTTATGTGAATTTCATCTCCATTATTTAAAAAACAGAAAAAGATCATCATGCCAGGGAAACATGCTTAGTTTGTGTGTGTGACTGTAATAGAGCAACATATAAACTAGATGAGTATCTCCTGTGGATTGCAGTCAACAACATTAGAAAAGACATTTGATTATATTTGATTCACTGAGAACAAACCCTGAAGCTGGTTCTGTGCTATATGCGGAGATGAACTGAATGTCGCCCATCCACTTTCGCACAGCCCAGAAACTCCAGCAATGGTTAAAAACAAGAGAAATAAACCCTAAACTCCACAGCCATTCCTTCAGGAAATCACGTTGGCTCTGCCTAGAGAGTATATCAAAGTCTAGCCACTCCTCCCCATGATCACCTGGAACTGTCAATGGCTCCAGAGAGCAGAGAAGATGAGGCAGGCACAAAGGGAGAAGTAGTAACACACATACACACAGAGGCGGGGATGGGACCAGCATATCTCAAGAAATGCCTAAGAGTTTGGACTGAGCATGTGGGGAACAAACAAGCCTTCCTGGAGAAAGGGAGACTCAGAGGAGAGGGGAAAGAAGGTTACAGAGTGTTAGCGACTGAAGTGTGTCCCTCAAAAGATGTCAAAAGACATTCAACAATAGATTGGACCGACAGAAGATAGAGTAAATGAACTAGAACACAGGGTAACTGAATTTAACCAAGTTTCAAGAAAAAAAGAAAACACGAAACCAAAAAAGGATGATCAGAAATGTAGAATTCAATTAAGAAATCCAACATTGGGAGTTTTGGGATTCAACAAGAAAAAAACAGTAGAAAAGGCATGAAAAGAACTTTCCAAAAGATAGTATCTGAGTTATCTGGTGTAGCCGTTACAGAAATGCCACAAGTGGATGGCTCAAACAAACAGAAATTCATTCTCCCAGGATAGAAGTTTGAAATCAAGGTGCTGGCTCTAGGGGAAGGGTCTTCTCTCAGTTTAAGAGCAAGATCCTGGTCTCCTTTCAGTATCGGTGGGGCCGGGCACTCCTTGGAGATGTCTGTGTCTTGGTGTCAATCTTCTGGGTCTAGGAGGTTCCCAGTGCAGAGGGCCTAGGTAGAAAGAATATGTCCTGCTCCTGGCTCTTCATTCTTCATAGCTGTAGGCCCCTCTGATCTCTGTTTGCTTGTTTAATCTCGTTCATACCTCAAAAGAGAGAGACTCAAAATACAACTTAATCCTGTAGATTTCATCTGGCCTCATTAACATAATGGGCTCGACTCCTGTCTCATTAATAACAATCACAGATTTACAACACATTGGATAACGACTTTCAGTCAAAAAATGGAAGATAATTACATAATAAATAGGAATCATGGCCTAACCAAATTGACACATATTTGGGAGCAGGAGCACAATTCAATCCATGACAAATAGTCCTAGCTAAATACCCAGACCAGAATAAGGAAAAGCGCCTGCAAATCCAGGAAGCTACAAAGCAGAAAGAATATAAAGATGTTTACACCCTGACACACACAAAGAAGCTCTGGCAGCACAGTGGTTACGAATCGGGCAAGTTATTCTCTTACAGCTTAGGAGGCCAGGAATGCCAATTCTAGCCAGCTCTAAGGGAAAAATTTCTCTGTCAGCTCTGGCCTTCCAGTTTATCTGTGGGCCTGGTGAATAATCTCCTAGATCCAAGAGGGTCTCAGCACAGGAACCCCCCAGGTCCAAAGGTACCACTCTGCTGCGGGCTCTCCTTTCTTGGTTGCAGACTGCTCCCTCCCTCTCTCTGCTTCTCTCACCTTTAGTCTATCTTGACTATTCCATAAGGGTAAAACTTGTAACTCAAGATATCACCCACCTGAATCCTGCCTCCTTAGCATACAGGTCACAAAATGGAAAATAATTATATTAGGTCACAAAATGGAAGACAACCTAACAGCCTAGCCAAATTGACACATATTTGGGCGGGGAGGGGAGGGAACATAATTAAATCCAGGAGTCCTGGTGTGGTGCTGTACAATAAGCACTGGACTGCTAACTTGTACAAGGATGGCAGTTCAAACCCACCAGCCACTCCTCGGAAACCCTCTACAGGGTCACTATAAATGGGAACTGACTCAAGGGCACTTAACAACAACAATTAAATTCATGACATCATATAAAAAGTAACTAAGAAAGAGTTGTTGTTGTTGTTGTGAAGTGCCATCGAGTCGGGTCCGACCCATAGCGACCCTGTACAGGGTTTCCGAGGCTGTAAATCCTTACGGGAGTAGAAAGCCTCATCTTTCTCCCGCTAACAAAGAGTAGGGGTGGCCACACTCAGAATCTATTTTGAGAGCTAAAGAAAGATTCCATAATAATAAAACTAAAACCCCACTGCTGATGCCTCAATTCCAACTCGGAGCGACCCTATATAGCGACTTGCTCATAGGGTTTCTAAGGCTGTCCACAGCAGATTGACACAACCTTCTCTTGTGGAGCAGCCGGTGGGGTCAAATCAGAAGCCTTTCTGTTAGGAGCTGAGCACTTAACCATTGTGCCACCAAGGCTCCTCTTACATAATAATCAAAGGATCGATTCATCAAGAAGACATACAATTATAACCATACGCACCTAACATCCCTGCTTGAAAACCTATGGAATAAACACTGCCTGCTAGGACAGGAGGAAGACACAACTCCAGAAGCACAGTTGGGGATTTTAATAAACAACTTCCAATTCTGGACAGATCACCTACGATCCCTATGGGCATCAAGGACGTAATAATACCATAAGCCAATTAGACTTAATGGACAAATACAGAATCCTCCACCCTTGATCAGAACATTATATATAGACTTTTCTCTCGGGCACACGATCATTTTCCAGTATAGACCATGTGCGAGGCCACAAAACCAATCTCAATAAATTTACAAAGAATGAAATTCTACAAGATATCTTCTCTGACCATAAAGGAGAAATATTTGAAAGTAACAGCAAAAGCAAATCTATACAAATCCATGAAAATGAAACAATTCACTATTAAATAACAATTGGGTCAAAGAAGCAATCAAAACTGAAAAAAAAAAAAAAAACAGCTTAAAGATCTACGAAAAGAAGAATCAACTTAAAGCTACTAGAAGAAATAATGAAATACAAAACATAAAAATAGTAGAAAGAACCAATAAATCTGTAAGTTGGTTCTTTGAAAAGATCAATATAATTAACATACTGCTTGCTGGGCTGACAAAGAAACAGAGAAGATGTAAATGACCAAAATGAGAAATTAAAGTAGAGCACTACAATTGACCCAACTGAAGGAAATAAAGAGGGTCATAATAAAATACTATGGACAACTATATTCCAACAAAATGGTAGCTTTGACAAAAATTGACAAGTCTCTAAAGCCGTAACCTAACTACACTGACTCCAAAGGAAGTAGAAGCCTTAAAAGATCCATAACAAGGAAAGAGACTGAATCAAGACTAAAAAGTTTCCCAATAAAGAAAAGTCAAGGACCTGACAATTTTACAGGGGAATTCTAGCAAATATTTACAGAAGAATTGGGTCCAATTCTGTTCAATTGCCTCCAAAAAGTCTAAGAAGAAGGAATACTCCCTACAGACCCATACATCCTCAGTAAAATACTAATAAACATAATCTAACAGTATGTTAAAAGAATTAAACATCATCGTGATAGTGTGGCATTTATTCAGGGATGAAATGTTGGTTCAACATTAGAAAATATAGGTTAATGTAATACATCACATTAATTTAAAAAAAAGAAGAAGAAAAACTCTTAACAAAATAGGAATAGAAGTAAAGTTTCTCAAAATGATTGTGTATTTATGAAAAACGAACAGCCA